GGCTAAAAATGTATTTGAAAATTGTTGTTCTGCTGCTTTTGCAGTCTGCGGCTCTCTTCCTTTTCTTTTTCTTCTTTTCTATCTTTTCCAATTTAGCCCAGATCTACAGTCCAGGACTCAAATGTCTTGGACTAGTTCTCCTTTGGGTATTTGGGCTTAGGTATAACGGTGCCAGTACATAATCTTTGCCTTTAATTATTCAATTTCTTTTTATGTAACAATCGATTGAAGAACCACTGACATGTTGATCCGAGTGAAAAGATTTCGATTCTCCTTAAATAATTTGTAAAATTTGAGTCATATGAATGGAGAAACAACGTTGAAAGAACTTATCTCCTTTTGAGGTCTGACAAGATTCAATTCAAAATTAATTGGTACTTAATCTGATTGTTAGATACTGTTTACACTTAATTTTACAACAAATAGAGTGTTGCCACGTGTCACCCATGCTGACAGATATTTTATTGGTTGAAAGTTGGTGTGAATCTTTTCACAATTAATCAACGGTAGCAAAACCGTTCCCTTGTTGCAAGTTTCCAAGAGGATAATCAGCACCAACAAATTAATCAATTTGTTGCAGATATCATGCTGCTGTTGGTTTTTCAGGATGCTGCCGCAGATCTCCACCATACTGCCAAGGTGTTATAAATATCTAATGATAAGATCAAGTAAAGGATCAACATCTCACACAACAAACTCAACACAATTTCTCTTTATGCTCAGATTCATCTTAGTTTCAAGCTCTTTAGTTTAGTTTTAACTATACGCTTCAACTTAGATTAGTTTAGTAATTCGATTCTCCTTTCATCAGATTTGTAATTGTGAGTTTCATTGCTTTTAGTAGTATTTCTTTGTGATCGGATTGCTTCTTTTCCTTTTCTATTTTCCAAGTTTCTTTTAATTAAATCAAATGATATCAACATTTAATTTCATGTTCAATTCCATTTCTGTTAATTTATATTTTATACTGCCAGTAGATTTTCCTTGTTTTGGGTTTATTTACTTTAACATAATTTACTTTTGCTGCAATTAAATTTCCTTTTAAAGCTTTGTTTCAATCCAGTTTGCATATTTAAAGTTCATTTAGATTTTCAATAGTTTAGTTATCATTTATTTTCCTTGCAATCTTAACTTTTCTTGATTACATTAGCTTTGAGGAGTCATTGGAATCAAATCCATGGCATTTTGCCGTATAACCCATTTAGTGCAGGAAGTTCATCCCTCATTTCTGCCAATCGTCTGATTTTTAAGGCACAGTTTACGACGTTCTTCCATCAACTCACAAGCTGAGTTCCACGCTTGGAAAGAAGAGAGGGTCGTTAGAGAAATCTTTCTTATTTTGAGCAAAACAAGTGGCACGTCATTTCATATGTTACGTGTCAAGGAAATTTTCTTGGGATAACATATACTAAAAGGTTAATAAAAAAAATCAATTCAAGCTTTCTTTTTCTTTAATAATAAAAAAAATCAATTAAGCTTGAGTACTTACATATAGACATTACTTAAAAATTTTTATTCAAATAAATTTTCATTTAATGGTTAATTTTATATAATTCATGATTCTACATTTATTCAAAATCTTTACTTAAACAGCACTTTTAAATAACTTCTATTAGGCCAAACATGCTTAATCATTTTTTACATGTTTATCCCTTTAAAATATATTTCATATTTTGCCATGAAAAAAAAAAATGTCTAGCCATCCATGGATTGCAAGACGACCCACAATCACGAGACTGAGGCATTTGCAATTTGTATGATTAAGTATAAGATATAACTGTCTTTCTCTATATATTGGCCTGATAGATTCTTCTTTGTGATCTTAACCGACAGAGAAATGAAAACATTGCTTATTATGGACATTAAATTAAGTTTCGTACCTAAAAATTAAGGTGTAGTTGCACATAATCCTTCGAAACTAATAGCATTAATCATATTGAAAAATGTGCATTTTTCCCTCCTCCTTGGTCTTGGATTTGATCCTACCCTTATAAACATGTTAAAAAAAAAAAAAAGAAAAGAGTTAAGACGTAGTTTTATTACTAATCCTTACTCTCTTGTCTAGTGACTAAAATCAATGGTCAGTGGAGATTACCTCTCTCATAAGTTGCTTCTTCAAATTTTATGAGATTCCCTTTCTGCAGTCTTCATATACCCAAAATATGTATTCATTATTCTTGTTTAAAAAAAAATGTAGTTTTATAGCTAATCTTGCCAGGTTGTGCGGATCCACTATTTTTTTTTTTCTGTTCAAAGTTTGTTTTCCTAGGTCGATCGAGCTTTTCTAGGTTTAAGTTTAGAAGACAATTTAGCTGTCTGGAATAAATTATAAATGTCAGTTTTGATACATTTTTGTTATATAATTTAAAATAATAATAATAATAATAA